CTGCAGCATAACTTCGGTAATTGGCTCTCAATATCAACCAAATGTCGTATTCATAAGTATTAAACACCCATTTCTGTAAATCTACGACAGTTTTGCACTTATATTATCGATTAAATTACAATTCATTTGTCTTTTAACCCGATTTAGCGCTATATCTAATCATTTCATAGAAAATCAATTGATTTATTATTTCAAATGTTACCAAATTATTAGTTAAACATTTTAGATATTCTGCATTTATTGGCTATAAAACTTCTATTATGTTATTTTACTAGTTTCAAAGACAATTAGTGTACACAATTAATTTAATTATTTTATTATTTTTATTTAAAATTTAAAATATTAAAATTTTTAATGTTGTTAATGGGAAATTTTATTCACAATTAAGGTTGCATTTAATATACATGTTAAAAACAACCTATAAATGTGCTCCAAATTATAGCATTTCTAAGAAACGTTTTAATTTATAAAATAAAAAGTTCTGTTAAATTATTACTATATCTTTAATTGTTTAGTCCAGTTTATCTTTATTACAATTTATATGCATTATAAATAATTCTAGCTTGATACTAGACTTGCAAGATGGATTCCCTTCATTTTCCCTTATGAGGGAAATGAGAAGGGAATTGAAAATAAGTTGAAGGGAAGGGAACCCCTCTTCCACAGAGGGAATCTCTGTAACAAAATTTCACTCTTTTTCAGAGGGAAAATGAAAGGAATCCCTTTTAAAAGAAAATCTAGTTACAGATAAAGTATTGTTTTTGTGTCCAATTTGTTCAATAAACGTAGCGTTCCCCAAAGGACAACCGCGACTGCTAAAAATGCTACCTTCTATGGGATGTTAATACAGTGCAACTTCTCTATAGTGAACGGCCAGTTGCACGGCAAAAGTGTTCATTATAGGGAGGGTTCATCCAAGGGAGGTTCGAATAAAAATGTCTAGTTTTTGATTAACTTTAAATAATAGGTAATTTTAGTTTGTTTAATAGTAATAAAGTGACAATTAAATGCTTTAATGTTAATTTTGTCCAAATGTTTAAATGTTTGAGCATTGGATGCGTCTCTAGATATAAAGTAATAATTTATAGTTCACTAATCAGAGTATGAATACACATCTTTTACAATATTGAATGAAACTTTATATAAAAATGTGTGTTTTGTTTGCTTAAAGTCGTAGATTAGAAACTATTTTGAATACTTTTGGGAATAATGTGCTTATTATTATATTTGTTCATTATCGGGAGTGAAAGTTTTATCTTAATCTCTATAAATCCGTTCATAATGGGGAGGTATTCATTATGGAGAAGTTCACCTAAGAGAGGTTATTTTAACATTATAAGTATAGGAAATCCGATATAAATTTCAAAACCGTTCATTATGAGGAGGTGTTTTAAATCCGTTCATAATGGGGAGGTATTCATTATGGAGAAGTTCACCTAAGAGAGGTTATTTTAACATTAAAAGTATAGCAAATCCAATATAAATTTTAAAACCGTTCATTATGAGGAGGTGTTCATCCAAGAGAAGTTCACCCAAGAGAAGTTGCACTGTATAGGAATAAAGGTATATACAGTGACATCTAACGCTATGGTCGGTGCGGTGGTGAACGCTAAATAAATGTATAGAAACGGTATATTATTGTCTATAAAGCAGTATATTTTGCTGGATATAATATATGTGTGTATTTGAAGAGAATGTGAAGGGAAAGGGATTCCCTCTTTTCATGATTGAAGGGAAGGGAATTAAAAAATACGAAAAGTTGCAAGTCTACATGCTTTTATAAAGTTGTTGAGTTGAGCTCGTTATAAATTTATATTCAAACTTAAACAAATGTTATTTACTCAAATTGTAATTATTGCTGATATAAACTATTCTTATTATTTGTATTTTTTTTATTATTAAATAAGTAATAGTAAAAGACAGCATCATCTATTTTGCAGCATAATGCAAATTCTAACAATATTTAAATATTGTGACAAATAATATAAATATTTAAATATATTAGATTGCAGAGCACATTGATCCGTTAATTTATATTAATTTATATATTACTTATTTTTATTCAATTATAATAATTAATCATTTGTAACAAATCAACAATTTCTAAACGAAATAATTTATTGATAAATTCTTGATATCATGAGACTTATAATTAATAAGTTGTCAATTTTTACAATTAAATTAATAACAAAAATATTGAATTTATATTTATATACAATGTTTATGACCCATAATATATTCACTGATTTATATGACTATAAAGAAACTTCATAAATTAGTTTACATTATAATGTAAATTTGTTTTTAATTTATTTAAAATTATTTATTGGCAAAATGTTTTGTTTAAGTAAAATATATCAAAAGTTTGACCATTGAATATA